GGTGCTGCGGGCGGGCCGCGGGCGCCTTTGTTCGGGCGGCGGGCGCCGCGGCTGTGGAAACGCGTGTGAAGGTCTGGCTTGTAGCGGGTCTAAACGGCGCCTCCGCGCCGGTGCCGCTGACTGACTTCTGCGAAGTCCTCTTTAGGTGGGGACACCTGAAGAGCTGACTTCATTCTCGCGAGCCTGATTTAAGGTACTTCTTCAGGTTCTGCCGTCGACGACGGGGGGGTGGGAGTGGCGCCGGCCTTAAAATCGCTCTCGGATATTACTGATTCAAAAGCTTAAAGTATTTGGCCGGGAGGCAGCGAGGAAAAAAAGCCGGAGGACTGCAGAAGCCCAGGCGGTGCCGCCGGAACGCAGGCCGGCTTCGAGAGCGTCGCTGCCTGCCGGGGCTGGGCCGAGCGGCGCAGTGAAGCAGCGGGCTGGCGCGGCCGCCGAGCGGGAGAGGGGTCTCCAGCGCCGGGCCGGGCGCAGGCGGCTTCAGCGGGGCAGCTCCGTGGAGCCGAGTCTTGGGGGAGCGTGCGAAACATGACGGAATCCGGCTTAATCCCGCGGTTCTCTGCCTGGGACCTTTCGCGGGTCGGTTTGATCTTCGGCCGAGGAGGGAGGGCGAGAAGTTTCACTTGGCGTTCCCGGTGTTCCCTTTCTCTTTTCAGCCGTGCCGTTGGGCTTTGAGGTATACAAAGTAACCAGCAGCAGCGGGTCTCTATGTGCAAGTTAAGCTTTGTAAGACTGCTAGGACTCGTGACACGGGTAAAGCTGTTTGTTTCTTTGAAAATCGCACTAACCAAAATGAAGTTTTGGTCCTGCTGGCCTTCTCTGTTTTTATGTAGGTTTCTTTGCTCTTTGAAAACTACCTTAAAGAGTTCCTTCACGGTATTTCTTGGCGTGGCTTTTTCGTTATTGAACAGACTTCCTCCGTGTTCTTTTCCGGACCTACTGTTTATTCTCTCATAATAATTCTGTTAGTTTAAACTTTTATATAATACTTAATCAGACACTGATGATTTTTTTTTCCCCACTAAACATTTTGTTGCTTTAACTGTTGAAGTAGTTGGAGGATGTTCATACCCTTCTCTTCCATTTTTAATACAATGCAGATGTTGAAATAAATGAGGGCGCTTCAGTAGCGGCTTGAACTCGAGTTTTCATTGCGTTGTGCTCAATGAAAAAGGGTGAGGGAAACTACTGTAGAGTTTCTTATTTCAGCGGTATATAATGAAAAATAATGATTTTAAAAAACAACACCCAAACAACACCCAAACAACAACCGAACAAAAAAAAAACCCCAACAATTTGAATATCTTGCCTGTTAAAACTAGAGCACCACTAAAATTTACAAACCAGCAGCTGTATTTACGAGTTTGACTTTGTTCTTGTGATTAGTTCCTATGAAATAGGTAATTTGATTTAAATATACAATTAGAATAATTTCTATTTAATGTAAATATAAGATTTCTAGATAAGTGTTTGTAAGTGTTGGGCTTTTAAGGCTGATGCATAGTAAAGTACTCAAAGATGTGAATAAAAGGAGCCACTCTCTTGTTATGATTTGCAGAGGGAGGAGGACAGGAATAATTGCTTACATGAAAGAACTACATTTGTGTTATCCTAGGAATTGCAAGATAAATATTTGAGGTCTTCTTTCAGACTAGATAGACTCCCCCCCCCCCTCCTTCTGTCAGCCTTAATGAAAAGGGTAATTGCCAAAGGCTGGATTGAAATTACTGCCTGTGGGCAGTTTTAAATTTGTCACTTTCTATGTTACTTTTTTTATTCATAAGAGAGTTAGAGATAAATATGATAAAATGATCTGGCCTTTCTTTTAAAAGCTATCCCAGAAGGGGTGGGTGATGCCACTTGGGTCTGTTTTATTTTTTAGCCTTTCTTGGTGCAATAGTAGGTTTAGCAGTTTTTCCACAGTTTCTTCTGCAGAATTTTCCTACTTAATTTATATGAAAAATGCAGTATAATTTTAAAGGAGACAAATATTTCTCTTATTATGTTCTTTCTGTTGCTAGTAATTTTACCAGCATTAGGAGCTGTGTTTGCAGAACAGCAATAGCTTCTTTTAGTAGTACTGAAATGACAAATAGAAGGTGAAATAGTCATGTTGTTGGGATGTGTTGATCTCTGTGTCTGATGATGCTACTGTAATGAGCACAGAGATTTACATCATACATGCTCAGAAGGTGTTAGACTGTAACTTAGGTATTCACAACATATCTTAGGCAAATGAGTCCCATTAAAGTTATTCATCTGTACTTGTGGAACTGTATGCTTAAGGTAATTTGTGGTCAGTGTTGGTTTTGCCCCAGTTTCAGTAAGAGTCTAGAAAAAGCATACATCAAGCCCATTTGTTATTAGAGAGACTTTTAAAAATGCAGCTTCACTTGCGATACCTTGTTCACTTTCCATAAATTATATTTTAGACTTAATAAAATAATTAGTCCCTTAAGACTGTTGATGTCTGAATCTTTTACCAAGGGTAGGTGATGCTAAATGAAGGGGGTTTTGTGACTTTTCACTTTTACCATAATAATTTCTGGCTGGATGAATCATTAGAAAATCATGTTACATGTTTTCTAACATTAAGGACACTAAAAAAAGCACTAGTAGGGGGGTAACATTAAGTTTAATCCCTCATTGAAGTATCTGAGCAGTATACCTTTTGAGGAGAGAGAGTGCCTGCTTAGTTGAAGTTAAATTATGACATCTGATGGATAACTACTAGGCTGAAATGCTGATTCAGTTGAACTTTTAAACAGTGATATCAGAATTACTCTATACACCCTGGGGACACTCTCACATCCTGGTTCCATTCCAGATCCGGAGGTTAAGAACACACTCATGTGAATACAATGAATGACAAACCAGTTCCAGTATAATGGAAACATTGTTTGCATTTAGTTAAAGGTATCCTCCTGAGGGAGTTCAGTAGGTGTTTTGTCAGATTTGTTCAGTTAGTGATGCTAGGGAGCTGCTGTTTTGCTTGGGTCTTCTGAGTGAAGAAAGTATGTGTTTTAAAGGAAGGAGTTGTTGCTAGCTGTGATTTAGATGGAGAACAACTATGGAATCAGAATCTTTAGTTTCAGTAGACAGTTTCCATTGGATTAAATGAGCATTATATAAAGTCTAATTACAGTCTAGTATAGAGGAGAAATAATACTTTAGCCATGGTCTTCAGCATAAGTTATTTGCCATATGTGGCAACAGCCCATTTTTAGCACATTTAAGCTATCTTGAGGCACAGTACCACCTCAGATGATTAACTGTGGTTACTCCAGTACTGCCCTGTGTGTGAATTCCACAGGCCAGCTTCCAGTCTTCTGAAATGACTTTGACAAATAGCAAATATTCTCTGAGTGAGATCATATTTGTAGTGTTGCTGGGCTGTTTACAGTTATAAATAATGTAAACTCTTGTTTTAATTCTTTCTGACAAGTGGACTGAGAAGCAAGTAAGAAATTCTGTAGTTACTGTCATATGCTGGAATAGAGTGCAATCTGCTGTTCCTGGGCAGAACAGGCTATTTATACCTCACTTTTGGAGGTATGTATTATTCTAAATTTCTCACATAAAACAATATTCCCCCTCTCCTCCAAATAAGTTGTGGCATCTAGCTTTGGCCTTCAGCTTTACTGAAAAGGTGGGAAAACTTACTCAGAAAAGATCGGTTTAATAGTGTCTGACAGAAGTGTGGTTGAATGCTGGGTCATAAGCACTTGTTGCAAAAAAAGCCTGTTGAGACATCACAGCAGTTTCTCTGGGCTGTGAACGTGAACTAAGTAAACTGTAAGAGAAGTAAAGAAGGGGAAAAAGTATTGAGTTTTTCCTGTGCATAAAGCAGCCCAAGCCTTTTGCCAATTGCTAGACATCTTCCATAGAGGTCTTCCACTTCTTGTCCTACTTGCAGGTTAAAATTAAAATTAATGGCTAAATAACCTCACCTGACAGGGAACAGGTGAGCTACTCCATATTGGAGTGACTAGTTGTGCTGATTACATAAATACATGAGGTTGTTGTTTCGTTCGCTGG